TGAAATAAAACATATATGAACAGGCATTGTAAACTGTAAGTTACGGAAAAAGCTGGCTGTTGTTGTGTCTTTAAAGCTTCACCTGGGTAGTTAGAGATGGATCATGGGTCTCAGTGGAGAGCTGAGCCAGGCAGGAGCTGACTAAGGGTGAGAGGTGGGAGTTAGCAATCTCTGAACATCTGTGTGCCATGGGACCCCTTTTCCTCCTGCATGGTACCCCAGACAAGGAGCCTAGTAAGAGATACTAATGACTTGTCCAGAGATGTTCAAACTGCAGAGAAAGATAAGACAACAAGCATTGGCCTCCAATCATGATGACAGATAGGAGGAGGTGGGAGCTCCTTAGCAGTGCTAGTTGGTTTTCCATGTTCTACTGTGGGCCATCTCTGCCATGTACTGTAGGCTACTAACTTCTATATTAAAAAATGCAAGAGGGGCCGGGAGTGGAGGCTCGTGCCTGTAATCTCAGCACTTTGGGAGGCCAAGGTGGGCAGATCACTTGAGGTCAGGAGTTTGTAACCAGCCTGGCCAACATGGTGAATCTCTGCCTCTACTAAAAATACAAAAATTAGCCAGATGTGGTGGCGTGCACCCGTAATCCCAGCTACTCGGGAAGCTGAGGCACAAGAATTGCTTGAACCTGGGAGGCGGAGGTTGCAGTGAGCCAAGATTGTGCCACTGCCCTCCAGCCTGGGCAACAGAGAAAGACTTTGCCTCAAAAATAAATAAATAAATAAATAAATAAATAAATAAATGGAAGTGAAATAATCAAGGCCACCATTTAATACTGAGTAGCCACTCCATGTGGTACTGTGCTAAGCACATTATAAAATATTAGCCTCACAAGAAATGTATTAGCATTTGTATTTTGTACACTGGTTAAGTATCTTGCCCAAGACCTCAAAACTGGTTAAGGGGCAGCAGAATTTAACCCCAGCGCCACCTTTTCAAAGTCTGGGCTTCTTACACTTCTCCATGCTGTTCCCATTTTAACAGATGTATCTCGCCATTCCAGCCACTCAAACTTTGGCATTTAAGAAAATTATCCTAAAGCTAAACTAAACTTCAAGGATGACTATTCTCCTGATGACCCCTTCCCATCAAAATTTTATCTTTAGTCAGTTTGTTTTTGTTTTGTTTTGTTTTTCAGAACTACCTCTGGCGCTTCCTCCAAATGAAAGGACTCACTTGGTAATTCTGGGAGCCATCTTTTTACTCCTTGGTGTAGCACTGACATTCATCTTCTATTTAAGAAAAGGTAGTATTTCCTTAATTGCAGTGGTCTCCACTGGGGATGAGGAGGGGGTGAGAATTGGATTGATCATGGCTGCAAGGAAACCTGACTTAACCTCTGCAGGGTGGTGCAAAGGCATTCCACTATTCAACAGTAATTATATTGAAGCTGCATGGGATCACTGGGTGAAGATGAGGTGTAAGGGGTGAGGGACAGGAGAATGGGTATGGATGGAGGTAGAAGATGCAGTGTCATACAATTTTTTTCTATCATGAAAATAACCACAGACTTACTGTAAAGAAGGAGCTAAAATGCCTGTCATTTTCAGTTGCATTTTAGTTTTGCATTAGTTGCACCCAGCTGGTTTCTGGGTACTCTAAGTAATAAAAATAGTTCCTCTGTAGAACTGTAGTATTTTCACCATAGAGTATTTTGTAAAATTATTGGTAGAGGATGTTACATAATTTGCATGTGTTCCTTTCTCCATTTACCTGTGGGAACAATTAAAATCCAGGAAAATGAGTATATTCAAATAATTTCCTCCCATTTATGATGATTCAGAGTAAATAATTCCTCTGATACTTAGAGAAGTATACCAAGAGATCCAGTGATTGTATAGAGTTGTCTGATGTTAAATAGGGAAGTAGAATATGGAAGGGAATTCCAATAGTCGTTGAAAAATTCCCCACAACCCCTTACATGGGGGAAAGTGGTGTTAACTGAGATAGTAGAGATAAGCTGTTACCAAAAATTATGTTCTTAACAGGATTGAGATAGCCAGAATATAAGGATCAAGTTTCAATGACAGTAAGATCCTGAGATGCAGTTGATTTGCACAAAGAAATAATTGTTGCCAGCTTGCATTTTGAATATTTCTCTGGAAAAAGAGATTAGTTGGCAGTAGAAATGAATAGAAATCAATAGATATTAAAATACCTCAGAATTTGATTCATCTCTGGGAAAAGATGAAAAATAAAAGTGTATAGTCCTCAAGAAAATCTGGGATCAAAAGCATGTGCCTTACCCTATTGAATTAATTAACCTCAGAAGTTGGGAACTGTGGAATAAGGATGTCCACCAGACTTCCTAGGGATTACAAATGTTTCATAGAACTTGAAATTTAAACTTGGGTCACTGTATGGGATGTAGAGCTGTGCTATATGGAAATAAAAATGATTTCTTTTTCTCAAGGGAGAATGATGGATATGAAAAAAAGTGGCATTCGAGTTACAAACTCAAAGAAGCAACGTGGTAAGAATATCAGAAGGAATTGGGAAGTAGAAGGCAAAGGAAACAAAAAGCTAAAGCAATAACAAAGAGAAATCCATTAGTCATAATCTCCTCTCCTTTTAAAGAATGCTGGTTCCCCTTTGCCTCACAACTAATACAAGAACTTCTCCACCATCTCAGGAAGTTTAGGGATGGCCTTCAAGAGTAGAGAGTAGGGAGCAGCTCTGTGGAGAGAGGAGAGGAGCAGGGAAGGGGAAGGAGTCAGCTTCTCTTTGCTAATCTGTTGCCCTGCACCCTAGCAGCTCCCTGCAGCAGGGGACAAGGTTGACTTAGGTGGATGGATAATTAATTGATTCTAAAATATTGTGTGTCAGTATTGTATATTGTAATACTATGTTAACTGCGCCATGCACGGTATCTCATTTAATCCCCCACCCCTTGCCATTACCAAAAAGAGAGAGAGAAAAATACTAGAATTATCCTCATTTTACAGTAGAGAAAACAGAGGGTCAAGAAGATAAAGTAAAGTGCCCAAGAACACACAACTGATTACAAATATCAAGCTTGGGGTCCATTAGCCTAACCACAGACCCTTACTCTTAACCCATCTGCTTCAATCCATTTTGCTACAAATGTTTACATTTATATGCAGGGCAGAAAAGTCTCATCCAGTTTATTGAACTAAGAAGAAAGTTATATTAAGGTTTCTAATTTTTTTTAATGTAGTTAGAAACCAAACTTAACAATGAGCCCAAGTTTAAAGCAGTCTAATTAACTTGACAAGCTCAGGCAAGTTTCATTCTGTGGCCTGTAGCATCATCTGTGTTGTAAAGCTAAGTAGCAAATGTTATTTGCTACTTAGCTTTACAACATCCTGGGGGGAAAGTCATCCCAATTTGCTCAAGACAGGGGTTTTTCAGGATATCATGTAAGGATAATTGGGTACAAATATAACCTGCTTCTTTCTCTCATTTCAAATTTATCATTTATCATCTCAGCAACTATGAGTTATGTTTTTTATTAGATTTCTTGTTACTTTTTCCCCAGACCGCTCCCCATGAAATTAATATACTATTATCACTCTCCAGATACACAATTGGAGGAGACGTAATCCAGCATTGGAACTTCTGATCTTCAAGCAGGGATTCTCAGCCTGTGGTTTGGGGGTTCGTCGGGGCTGAGCATGACCAGAGGAATGAATGGGCCCGTGGGATGCATGCAGTATGGGACTTAAAAGGCCCAAGCACTGAAAATGGAACCTGGCGAAAGCAGAGGAGGAGAATGAAGAAAAATGGAGTTGAACAGGGAGCATGGAGGGAGACCTTGATACTTTCAAATGCCTGAGGGGCTCATCGGTGCATGTGACAGGGAGAAAGGATACTTCTGAACAAGGAGCCTCCAAGCAAATCATCCACTGCTCATCTTAGGAAAACGGGTTGAGAATCCCTAATTTGAGGGTCAGTTCCTGCAGAAGTGCCCTTTGCCTCCACTCAATGCCTCAATTTGTTTTCTGCGTGACTGAGGGTCCCAGTGTTGGAACAGTATTTATGTATGAGATTTTCCTATTTATTTTGAGTCTGTGAGGCCTTCTTGTCATGGGAGTGTGGTTGTGAATGATTTCTTTTGAAGATATATTGTAGTAGATGTTACAATTTTGTCGCCAAACTAAACTTGATGCTTAATGACTTGCTCACATCTAGTAAAACATGGAGTATTTGTAAGGTGCTTGGTCTCCTCTATAACTACAAGTACACATTGGAAGCATAAAGATCAAACCGTTGATTTGTATAGGATGTCACCTTTATTTAACCCATTAATACTCTGATTGACTTAATCTTATTCTCAGACCTCAAGTGTCTGTGCAGTATTTGTTCCATTTAAATATCAGCTTTATAATTATGTGGTACCATACACACATAATCTCCTTTCATCGCTGTAACCACCCTGTTGTGATAACCACTATTATTTTACCCATTGTACAGCTGAGGAAGCAAACAGATTAAGTAACTTGCCAAAACCAGTAAATAGCAGAGCTCAGACTGCCACCCACTGTCCTTTTATAATACAATTTACAGCTATATTTTACTTTAAGCAATTCATTTATTCAAAACCCATTTATTAAGTGCCCTTGCAATATCAATCACTGTACCAGGCATTGAATCTACAGATGTGAGCAAGAGAAAGTACCTGTCCTCAAGGAGCTTGGAGTATAATAAGGAGATTAATAAGAAAATATATTATTACAATCTAGTCCAGTGTCATAGCATAAGGATGATGTGAGGAGAAAAGCTGAGCAGTGTTGCCAAGAGGAGGAAATAGGCCCATGTGGTCTGGGACAGTTGAATGTATTTAAACATCTTAATAATCAAAGTAATTTTCATTTACAAAGAGAAGTCAGTACTTAAAATAACCCTGAAAAATAACACTGGAATTCCTTTTCTAGCATTATATTTATCCCTTATTTGCCTTTGCCATACAATCTAATGCTTGTTTATATAGTGTCTGATATTGTTTAACAGTTCTGTCTTTTCTATTCAAATGCTATTAAATTTTAAATTCATACCTTTCCATGATTCAAAATTCAAAAGATCCCATGGGAGATGGTTTGAAAATCTCCACTTCATCCTCCAAGCCATTCAAGTTTCCTTTCCAGAAGCAACTGCTACTGCCTTTTATTCATATGTTCTTCTAAAGATAGTCTACATTTGGAAATGTATGTTAAAAGCATATATTTTTAAATTTTTTTCCCTAAATAGTAACACATTATATGTCTGCTGTGCACTTTGCTATTTTTATTTATTGTAGTGTTTCTTATGTAGCAGATGGAATGAATTTGAAGCTCCCAAGGGTCAGGACACATGCCTTCTTTGTTTCTAAGTTATCTTTCCCATAGCTTTTCATAATCTTTCATATGATTTAGTACATGTTAAATATGTGCTACATATACATTTAGACAACCAGCATTTGTTAAGTATTTGCTCTAGGACTGAGTTTGGATTTATGTTTGCTCAAAAGGAGACCCATGGGCTCTCCAGGGTGCACTGAGTCAATCTAGTCCTAAAAAGCAATCTTATTATTAACTCTGTATGACAGAATCATATCTGGAACTTTTGTTTTCTGCTTTCTGTCAAGTATAAACTTCACTTTGATGCTGTACTTGCAAAATCACATTTTCTTTCTGGAAATTCCAGTAGTGTACCTTGACTGCTAGTTACCCTGTGCCAGAAAAGCCTCATTCGTTGTGCTTGAACCCTTTAATGCCACCAGCTGTCATCACTACACAGGCCTCCTAAGAGGCTTCCTGGAGGTTTTGAGATTCAGATGCCCTGAGAGATCCCAGAGTTTCCTTTCCCTCTTGGCCACATTCTGGTGTCAGTGACAAGGAATACCTTCGCTTTGCCACCCGTCAAGGTTGAAGAAACAGCGTCTCCAACAGAGCTCCTTGTGTTATCTGTTTGTACATGTGCATTTGTACAGTAATTTGTGTGACAGTGTTCTTTGTGTGAATTACAGGCAAGAACTGTGGCTGAGCAAGGCACATAGTCTACTCAGTCTATTCCTAACTCCTCCTTTTGGTGTTGGATTTGTAAGGCACTTTATCCCTTTTGTCTCATGTTTCATCGTAAATGGCATAGGCAGAGATGATATCTAATTCTGCATTTGATTGTCACTTTTTGTACCTGCATTAATTTAATAAAATATCCTTATTTATTTTGTTACTTGGTACACCAGCATGTCCATTTTCTTGTTTATTTTGTGTTTCATAAAATGCTTAGTTTAACATCCCAGTGGAGAAAGTTACTTGGAATATTTGCAGCCTGCTTACTAGTTCTTTCTTCATTGCTTCTGTGTTTATACACCATGCTTTTGAATCCTGCACAATGAAAAAAGTATCAAAAGAACTTATTTTAAAAAAGAATGTACTGAAAATTTTCATTCTCTCTCATTCAGCAGCTTCTCTTTGGACCATACCAAGAAGAGTCAAAATCCTGTCATCTACATTGAAGATCTAAGGGAGAGAGGGTGGGAGAGAAGGAGTGGAATTCAATAGAACTACAGGGAAACAAAGGGACTTACCTCTAAGAAAGTACTTTTCCCAGATCTGTAAACGGGTATGCAATCCAGTGCATATGAAGCTGGATGTATTGCAATCTTCAAGTTTTGAAAACAAAGCGAGAAGCCTAGAACTAAGCCAGGTTGAGGATTTAGGGCTAGCAATGGTTAGGACCCTAGATCTGTGGTTTTAAAACAAGCATGACAAAACTTATCATTCAAGGAATTATAGACCTTTTAATGTGTTATACGGTTAGATTTTAGTCAGAAATTCCGTTTTAAAAGTCTTTATCACTTGTTTGAATCAGATACTCTCAAAGGATTATAATGGCTATTCTAAGAATATGAGTTTGACTGTAGATGTTTTTGTTTGTTTGTTTGTTTTTGAGACAGAGTTTTGCTCTTGTCACCCAGGCTGGAGTGCAATGGCACTATCTCAGCTCACTGCAACCTCCACATCCAGGTTCAAGTGATTCTCCTTCCTCAGGCCCTCGAGTAGCTGGGATTACAGGCACCTAACACCACTCCTGGCTAATTTTTGTATTTTACTAGAGACAGGGTTTCACCATGTTGGCCAGGCTGGTCTCGAACTCCTGACCTCGGGAGATCCACCCACCTCAGCCTCCCAAAGTGCTGGGATTACAGGCCTGAGCCACCATGCCTGGCCTCTAGATGTTTTCAGTAGTAATGACGATGCACTATTTTTGCTAGCCCTTGGGCAGTCAAAGCAATAAATATGGGTGCTAGACATCAGGATATCTGGCCTTCCTAATCAGGAAAGAATATGGAGAACTATTCTTCCTGGCTTGCCTTGGTGGTATGGAAATTTTGTGACATTTGAGGGGTCTGTATTATAGAAAAGTTAATATGAAAATGGTCCATAAGCTTTCATTAAACTTTTGCTCTAGTCTCTTTTACAAGCGTGTGACTGTCTGCCACAAGTAGGCCTAATATAATTTTTAAGTTTTATTTTATTTTTAATTGACACATAATTGACTTTTTTATTATTATACTTTAAGTTCTAGGGTACATGTGCACAATGTGCAGGTTTGTTACATATGTATACATGTGCCATGCTGGTGTGCTGTACCCATTAACTCATCATTTACATTACATATATCTCCTAATGTTATCCCCACCACCTCCCCCAACCCCATGACAGGCCCCAGTGTGTGATGTTCCCCATCCTGTGTCCAAGTGTGCTCATTGTTCAATTCCCACCTATGAATGAGAACATGCAGTGTTTGGTTTTCTGTCCTTGCAATAGTTTCCTCAGAATGATGGTTTCCAGCTTCATCCATGTCCCTACAAAGGAAATGAACTCATCCTTTTTTATGACTGCATAGTATTCCATGGTGTGTATGTGCCACATTTTCTTAATCCACTCTATCATTGATGGACATTTGGGTTGGTTCCAAGTCTTTGCTATTGTGAATAGTGTCACAATAAACATATGTGTGCATGTGTCTTTATAGTAGCATGATTTATAATTCTCAGGGTATATACCCAGTAATGGGATTGCTGGGTCAAATGGTATTTCTAGTTCTAGATCCTTGAGGAATCGCCACACTGTCTTCCACAATGCTTGAACTAATTTACAGTCCCACCAACAGTGTAAAAGCGTTCCTATTTCTCCACATGCTCTCCAGCACCTGTTGTTTCCTGACTTTTTAATGATTGCCATTCTAACTGGTGTGAGACAGTATCTCACTGTGGTTTTGATTTGCATTTCTCTGATGGCCAGTGATGATGAACATTTTTTCATGTGTCTGTTGGCTGCATAAATGTCTTCTTTTGAGAAGCGTCTGTTCATATCCTTTGCCCACTTTTTGATGGGGTTGTTTGATTTTTTCTTGTAAATTTGTTTCAGTTCTTTGTAGATTCTGGATATTAGCCCTTTGTCAGATGGGTAGATTGAAAAAATTTTCTCCCATTCTGTAGGTTGCCTGTTCACTCTGATGGTAGTTTCTTTTGCTGTGCAGAAGCTCTTTAATTTAATTAGATCCCATTTGTCAATTTTGGCTTTTGTTGCCATTGCTTTTGGTGTTTTAGTCATGAAGTCCTTGCCCATGCCTATGCCCTGATTGGTATTGCCTAGGTTTTCTGCTAGGGTTTTAATGGTTTTAGGTATAACATTTAAGTCTTTAATCCATCTTGAATTAATTTTTGTATAAGGTGTACGGAAGGAATCCAGTTTCAGCTTTCTACTTATGGCTAGCCAGTTTTCCCAGCACCATTTATTAAATAGGGAATCCTTTCCCCATTTCTTGTTTCTCTCAGGTTTCTCAAAGATCAGATGGTTGTAGATGTGTGGTATTATTTCTGAGGACTCTGTTCTGTTCCATTGGTCTATATCTCTGTTTTGGTACCAGTACCCTGCTGTTTTGGTTACTGTAGCCTTGTAGTATAGTTTGAAGTCAGGTAGCATGATGCCTCCAGCTTTGTTCTTTTGGCTTAGGATTGTCTTGGCAATGCGGGCTCTTTTTTGGTTTCATATGAACTTTAAAGTCGTTTTTCCAATTCTGTGAAGAAAGTCATTTGTAGCTTGATGGGGATGGCACCGAATCTATAAATTACCTTGGGCAGTATGGCCATTTTCACGATATTGATTCTTCCTATCCATGAGCATGGAATGTTCTTCCATTTGTTTGTGTCCTCTTTTGTTTCATTGAGCAGTGGTTTGTAGTTCTCCTTGAAGAGGTCCTTCACATTCCCTGTAAGTTGGATTCCTAGTTATTTTATTCTCTTTGAAGCAATTGTTAATGGGAGTTCAGTCATAATTTGGCTCTCTGTTTGTCTGTTGTTGGTGTATAGGAATGCTTGTGATTTTTGTCATTGATTTTTGTATCCTGAGGCTTTGCTGAAGTTGCTTATCAGGTTAAGGAGATTTTGGGCTGAGACGATGGGGTTTTCTAAATATACAGTTATGTCATCTGCAAACAGGGACAATTTGACTTCCTCTTTTCCTAATTGAATACCCTTTATATCTTTCTCTCCTGCCTGATTGCCCTGGCCAGAACTTCCAACACTATGTTGAATAGGAGTGGTGAGAGAGGGCATCCCTGTCTTGTGCCAGTTTTCAAAGGGAATGCTTCCAGTTTTTGCCCATTCAGTATGATATTGGTTGTGTGTTTGTCATAAATAGCTCTTATTATTTTGAGATATGTCTCATCAATACCTAGTTTATGGAGAGTTTTTAGCATGAAGGGCTGTTGAATTTTGTCAAAGGCCTTTTCTGCATCTATTGAGATAATCATGTGGTTTTTGTTGTTGGTTCTGTTTATATGCTGGATTACGTTTATTGATTTGCATATGCTGAACAAGCCTTGCATCCAGTTTTTGCCTGTACGGTATTATATTGGCTGTGTTTGTCATAAACAGCTCTTATTATTTTGAGATACATCCCATCAATACCTACTTTATTGAGAGTTTTTAGCATGAAGGGCTGTTGAATTTTGTCAAAGGCATTTTCTGCATTTATTGAGATAAACATGTGGTTTTTGTCTTTGGTTCTGTTTATATGATGGATTACATTTATTGATTTGCATATGTTGAATCAGCCTTGCATTCCAGGGTTGAAGCCAACATGATCATGGTGGATAAACTTTTTGATGTGCTGCTGGATTCAGTTTGCTAGTATTTTATTGAGGATTTTTGCACCGATGTTCATCAGGGATATTGGTCTAAAATTCTCTCTTTTTGTTGTGTATCTGCCAGGCTTTGGTATCAGGATGATGCTGGCCTCATAAAATGAGTTAGGGAGGATTCCCTCTTTTTCTATTGATTGAAATAGTTTCAGAAGGAATGGTACCGGCTCCTCTTTGTACCTCTAGTAGAATTCGGGTGTAAATCCATCTGGTTCTGGACTTTTTTTGGTTGGTAGGCTATTACTTATTGCCTCAATTTCAGAGCCTGTTATTGGTCTGTTTAGAGATTCAACTTCTCCTGGGTTAGTGTTGGGAGGGTGTATGTGTCCAGGAATTTATCCATTTCTTCTAGATTTTCTAGTTTATTTGCATAGAGGTGTTTATAGTATTCTCTGATGGTAGTTTGTATTTCTGTGGGATTGGTGGTGATATCCCCTTTATCATTTTTTATCACATCTATTTGATTCTTCTCTCTTTTCTTCTTTGTTAGGCTTGCTAGTGGTCTATCACTATTGTTGATCTTTTCAAAAAACAAGCTCCTGGATTAACTGATTTTTGAAGGGTTTTTTTGTGTCTCTATCTCCTTCAGTTCTGCTCTGATCTTAGTTATTTCTTGCCTTCTGCTAGCTATCGAATGTGTTTGCTCTTGCTTCTCTAGTTCTTTTAATTGTGATGCTATGGTATCAATTTTAGATCTTTCCTGCTTTCTCTTGTGAGCATTTAGTGCTATAAATTTCCCTCTACACACTGCTTTAAATGTGTCCCAGAGTTTCTGGTATGTTGTGCCTTTGTTCTCAGTGGTTTCAAAGAACATCTTTATTTCTGCCTTCATTTCGTTATTTATCCAGTAGTCATTCAGGAAAATGTTGTTCAGTTTCCATGTAGTTGAGCGGTTTTCAGTGAGTTTCTTAATCCTGAATTCTAGTTTGATTGCACTGTGATCTGAGAGACAGTTTGTTATTATTTCTGTTCTTTTACATTTGCTGAGGAGTGCTTTACTTCCAACTATGTGGTCAATTTTGGAATAAGTGCGATGTGATGCTGAGAAGAATGTATATTCTGTTGAGGTGGAGAGTTCTGTAGATGTCCATTAGGTCTGCTTGGTGCAGAGCTGAGTTCAATTCCTGGATATCCTTGTTAACTTTCTGTCTCATTGATCTGTCTAATGTTGACA